TAAAAACTGACATAATTGCTATTTTTAAAGTTATGTGCATTTATCTCTAAAAACAGCAAAGTAAATTTGATCGTTTCTTTGGCAGCTATATGATATAGTTGTCCGATCCGGATGATTCTCATATATAATATGCGTAGGGACAAAAAATTTCGACTGGTAAAGTTTCAAGTCAATATCTTTTGAATTGACCGAGTTATTAATTTCGGCCAAGAAAAGTGGTCAAATGCCCCATAGTGCGCTGTTAAGCAAAGAAACGTTGACGTCGCACTTAACACCTAGTGCACCTAGCGCGTTAAAAAAAAAATTTGCCTAATTTTTCGATTTTTAACGCGCTAGGTGTACGTCTTCGCAAGAGTCATTTGTCAATTTAGTTCCTTGTGTTCATAGCTATATAATCACTGAAGACTTGATAGTAAAATATTAATCGGTTCACAAGATATGGCCGTTACAAATACATTTTGTATGTAAAACTTTAACTCGCTATAATAGGTAAACGCGAGCTAAGCCAGAGAAACCCAAATGGGTTTTAGCTTATCAAATCAGAATTGCGGTTACATTTTATAACCCTAAAAGTGTTGCACAGTGTTATCGTTCACACATATACAACGAAAACATTAAAACAATAAACAATAAACAAACAATGGAAAATCGTATATTAGAATTAAGCGTATTTAAGTAAATTAACATTTTAAGATTTGTAATGTATAATGACTATATCAACGTATTTAAAAAACCATGATTTTTTGTCTAAATAAATGTTATTTGATTGCTTTTCTTTATTATATTAAATTGCTTTTTAAATTAATTTTCTCTCGTAGATTATTGGACAAAAAATGTATAATTTTTGTAGTTCATAAATACAATATACATTTTTTAATTTTAGGACAACATTTTCTTAATCTTAGAATAAAATAGCATTATTTTAGGAATGTTTGCTCTTTTTTTAAGTACGTTTGTTCTTATTGTAAGAACAAAATTTAAGTACCAAAATTTCTTAAAATAATAATTTTGTTCTTAAATTTAGTCTGGGTTTTTTCCCTCAGTGCACTTTCGTTTTTATTTTACAACTTTGTTTGTATGCTATTTCTCGCTTGCTCAGCTGCTATCACATAATTTGCTCTTTTTACTTTCTTTTCATTTGCTTGGTCACCACTAAATAGAGAGGAGCAGGGAGGTCAACAAACTTGACCATTTGACACTTAAATTGAATGAGTATTCAACTAGTCAAAAAGCAAAAACCGAATGCTACAATTTAAGAACGTTTTTTCTTAATTTGAGATTGATTTTTATGCCACAAAAACAATTTAAAATTTTATTTTTTCGCCTATTTGATCTTATAGAAAGACTTTGGAACACATATAGCGTACTCACCAGTAGACTATTGAAAAAAGTCATTTTTATACCCTTGCAGAGGGTATTATTTTCAGTCAAAAATTGCAACGCAGTGAAGGAGACGTTTCCGAGCACATAGAGTATATATGTTCTTGATCAGCATCAATAGCCGAGTCCATCTAGCCATGTCCGCCTGTCCGTCTGTCCGTTTCTATGCGAACTAGTCTCTCAGTTTTAAAGCTATAGCGGTGAAACTTTCCCAAAAGTCTTCTTTCTATTGCATGTAGTACATAGGTCGGAACGAGCCGGATCGGACCACTATCACTATGGACGGCAGTCCATGTAGTGACGAAGCGCACCAGGAGAGTGTGCGAAGGCGACTACTATATATACACGAAGAAATGAAAATCTACTGTGATGGTCCGATCATAATGAATGATACACCTATCGAAAGGTATTACGAAAACTAACAGGATTGCATACCAAGACTCTAAGAAAATCAATTGGCTTGGGAGAGAGAGCGGTGAAAGTGAAAATTTTGAAATTTGGAGCTGTTGGGGCCGGTGGGGATAAATGCCCCCTCGCAATGTTTTATTTGTATTCCTTTTAAAAATACCCGTCGAATGAGGGGTCATTTGTCAAAATCCGACGCTCCGTTCAAAAGTTATAGCCAAAATAAGATTTTCTTCATCTTCCCAAAATGAAAATTTAATTCTGTTTGTCAGTTTGTCAGTTTGTCAGTTTGTCAGTTTGTCCAAAACATGTTTTTTAAGTTTTGAAAATTTGATATGACGTTCATCACATCGATATAAAAAACTTTTCTTCTACCACTTTTGGAAAAACTCGCTAGTTTAGCGGGAAAACAGCTATAAATAGCTAAAATTCGGAAAGCCGTAACTTCTATACTACTAAAGCTACAGACTTGTGCTGCATCTCGTTTAAAAGGTATTTAAATGCTATAAATGCCCTTCATATGCAATTTGTGTAAATGTAATAGTTAAAAAAATATGAACAAAAGACAATTTTTTAAAACTTTTTTTTAGCTTTTTTTTATTTTTGTCAAAAACGGCTCTAACGATTTTCTTTAAAACCTTAAACTGTATAGCCCTTGAGATTCCTTAAATTTTGGTATATAACACATTACTGTAAAAAGTCACGTTTAAAAGTTATTTTTATACGAAAATAGCCACTGTTGCCAGCTCGAACAATTAACGCTCCCTGAGTATTGAATTTTGTGTGAGGGTATCCGAACTGTATTTTAGGGTCATGGAATCAGTAAATTTGCACCTAAGAGTTTCATATAGGAATCTTTTGTTCTACGACTTTTGGAAAAAGCCGCTACTTTAGCGGGAAAAAAGCTAAAAATGGCTAAATTTCGTTAGTTTGTAAGTTCTACTCTACTAAAGGTACAGACATGTGCCATACCTCGTTTAAAAGGTATTTTGAAATACTTTTTAACTTAATTTGTTTAAATACAATGGCTTACAAATTATGATTGACCAATTTAAATTTAAATGTATATATTATAGCTCCTATGAGAGCAAATGTAAACAAACAAAAACTTCTGATATCAAATAAAAACACCTCTTAACGAGGTAAAAAACTAGTGACGATCGCACCTTCAACATACAAAAGTTCTGATATCAACATTTGTGACGAAAAATTATTACACTCGTCATTCGGCACGCTGCGATAGAAAATGCCTGTGAAGGGAAAAAGGCTTGAATAGTTTGCTAGGGCGGGCCGAATGAGAAAATATTAGAAAGTCTATTTAATGACGAGTGTAATAATTTTTCGTCACAAATGATGATATCAGAACTTTTGTATGTTGAAGGTGCGATCGTCACTAGTTTTTTACCTCGTTAAGAGGTGTTTTTATTTGATATGGCTCCCATAGGAATAGTAAGATTTTATTTTGAACTTGAATTTGAAATCATAACAACCAAAACGTATTCAGTTCAGTTGAGTTTAAAGTGTTCATGTGTTCAGTTCAGTGCTCAGAGCTAAGTTTAAAGATATTAATAATAATAACAAGTTGAAAGATAATAATAATAATAACAAACAAGTTTTCGGCTCAGCTTAACGCTAAAACAGATCAACGTGTTCAGGTCAACAATAAAAATTTGTACATTATTAAAAATGCCGCGTATATCATCGGCCTCCGAGGAACAACGCGTTTTAATATGCCATACCCACCAATGCCTGTCTTTTTATTTTATCTGCAAGGGTATTTAAACTTTGGTTTGCCGAAGTTAGCTTCCTTTCTTGTTTTGGCATAAACTCAACTTTAATTTGAGCCTAGTGCCAAAAGAAAAGAAGTACTGGAAGATGGTTTTTTTTCACCTGCAAGTCGTACGAACGTCGCGTGCGACAGCAGAAAATTGCCCATAAGATTAATAATTAATTTGGAAACATTTTGGCTATATTTTCTTCCATGGTGGAAATTAAATAGGTCTCTTACTTCTGCTATAAAATGAAAAATCGGTCTTTCATTTTATAATCTTTAGAGATTAGAGATAATATAATATGATATATGTAATTACATGTATGTATGTATTAAAGGTTTTTAATAAAGCCAAATGATTGTATACCAGAGGATTCGGGTCTTGATTAGTTTGAAATTAATTGCAAGCGGCTGCTGCTTAGAGGGGTGTGTTTAATTGCCAGTTTAACTAATTAGGCAACATGTGAGGAATTTAAACAGGACGTCACTGGCTGGTGGTTCGCCTGATTAGAGTGGCCACCTAATTAAATTTCAAATGCAGCAGTGTCAACTTAATGGTGCTCTGTTTGCCCTTGCTAGTCCCCCTATATCACCCCTGTATCCACTGTTTCTCGCTATCTTTCTGTGCCTGTCAGCGTTTGTGCAAACACTCAAAGAGCAGACCCACACAGCTTTAATCATAATAATGTCACCACTAATTGCATTGCGTATACGCACACGTGTACTTAGAGTTGGCTATAAGCCCCTACCCTCTACCCACTCTTCCTCCCAACCCCTTCTGACTCGTGATGACCCCATAATTTGGCATTACGTGGGCGCGACTACCGTCAGGGTGGGCCCCCTTCCGCCCACAACCATCGCTCTCTAAGCTCTCCGGCGAATGTGTTTATTTAACATTTAAGCAACCAGCTTTTGCCCTTAGACATAGAATGGGGGATTGGGAATAATCGACCTCAGAATCGGATGTGATGAAAGGGGGTTGTTAGCTTCTCACTGAAATGTGTTCTTTTAATTGGGCGAGCAACATTATTTAAAGTAGTTTGATGTTGAACTGGACAACCTAAACTTCTGACATAGGTCGTTAAAGCTCAAATATAAATAATGAGCATTCGGCAAAACTTTTAACACGACTTATAATTTAATTTTATTTTATTTACAGAAAATATACAGAAAATATCGAAAGTTCTATGATTGTTATACAACACCCTGTGTGCCCTTATTTGATAATCTAATTAAAGTGATTTTCATAAAGCCATTTATAAAAGTTATAAATCGATATCCAACCTGAAACTTGGCTTGAAAAGTGTAAAGAATCTGGTGATAACAACTAGTTAAAAATATGGTTCAAGATTAAATAAATTCATTGGATTTTAAGAGGGATTACACATTAAATTGGGTTTCAAAAAGTATGGTAAAGTTTAGATAAAAAGTTAAAATAACTTACCGCCGACATAAATATCAACTTGCGACCAGTTCAACTTGTTGGAAATGCTTTGCACGGCCAGGGAAACGGCTTCAAATGATGGAAGAAAATCGCTGGAGATCTGCGAAAAAGGGAGAAGTTTAATGTTAAACTAAAGATTTTCTGCGAACTTTCTTCTACTTAAATTGTATAAATTAACAACTTAGAGCTCCCAGCCACTGGCAGCTCCATTAACATAACTCATTACACCACCACCCAGATTTTCATTGTGTTTACTCTCTCGCCTACTTTCCCATTCTCATTCCCATTCCACTTCCTCACTTCACAATCACCTTTTGTCTCTGTGGGCTGCAAATGAAAATCTAAACACGAATTCTAGTGTTCAGCTGCCTTGTTTGGCAAAGTGAAACAAATTAAATGCTCAAGCAATTAAAGAATTCAAAAGGATAAGAAGGACACGAAGGGGGATGTCTACTTGGTAATTGACAATGGGAAATTGCGTATGGGTTGCATCTTGAGAATTAAGAAAGTATGGCGAAATACAATGATATTCGACAAATTAGTCAAATTAATTTTCCAAAGATCTTCTCAATCAAAATTTGTATACCCTTGCAGAGAGTATAATGATTTCAGTCAGAAGTTTGCAACGCAATGAAGGAGACGTTTCCGACCCCATAAAGTATATATATTCTTGATCAGCATTAATAGACGAGTCGATCTAGCCATGTCCGTCTGTCCGTCGGTCCGTCTGTCCGTCCGTTTCTACGCAAACTAGTCTCTCAGGGATAAAACTTTCCCAAAAGTCTTCTTTCTTTTGCAGGTAGTATATAAGTCGGAACCAACCGGATCGGACAACTATATCTTATAGCTCCCATACACTCAAAAAATTATTTTTTCTTAAATATAGAAAAAAAAATTTTTTCTGTGCCTTAAAAAAATATTCTATAAAGAGGAAAAATTTTCTAATCTTCAGAAAAATTTTCTAATCTTCAAAAAAATTCTCTATGGAACGAGTTTTTTTTAGAAATTTTTTTCTCAAATACAGAAAAATCAATTATTTTAGTTTTTATAAAAACAGAAGAAGAAAATGTTTGAAGATTTTTCTAACATTTAGAAAAAAATGTGTGATATTAAGAAATATTTTTCTAGAAAATAAAATCAATTTCCCTTCTTATACACTTTTTTGAAAATTTTTTTTAGCCCAAGAAAAAATCGCTATTAATCGAAGAAAATTTCCGGGATTGGTAGCCTAGGGGTCTAACGCGTGCGTGCATGCATATGTTATTCAAGCTTGCGGCTGCAAGTGTGAGTTTAATCTCACGTCGAGACGAAAAACTCATGGTGGTTAATAAATATATAAGTATTAATATTAATCAATAAATATTTAAGAGCAAAATTAAATAAACAACTAAAAGGAATAACCAGAAGAGAGCCAGATCAATTTGAGTAAAAATAGGAGAACAAAATGTGAATAGACTTTGTACAGCGCCTCACGTAATGCTTCCGTGGCGCAGCTAGTAGAGTGCTTGACTGCAAACTGTGAGGCGAGCGGTTAGCAGTTAAATTCCCGCGTGCGGCGACCAAGATGTTTTTCTCAAAATAGTAAGTTATTGGGTTTTTATATTTATAAATTGTAATTTGTACACTAATTTCAGTTATTATTACAGTTTAAATTTGAAACCACCCATGTGGTCAATTAAAGGAAATTCAAATAAGGTGGCAAACAAGAACGAAAAAAAAACAACACAAAGGCCGTGGCGTCACAGAAACAACCGGGTATAATTCCGAAGCCGGAAAATAGATTTTTGTATTTTCTGAACTTGAGAAATTTTTTTTTGTTATTTAAAAAATATTTGTATATATTAAAAAAAAACCGTATTTCTATTTTTTAGAAAACCTTTATTTCTAAATTCTAAGAAATATTTTTTTACTTTCTAGCAAAAAATTTCTAAGTTGCAGTCGATTTTTTTTGATTTTTAGAAAAAAACGTCGTTGATTTTTAAAACCTACTTTCTTTAATATAGACAAAATCGCCATTAAAGCAAATGCATAGGCGATTTTCTAAAACCAAGGGCGATTTCAGTCGATTTTTTTTTTGGTGTAGGAGGGATCGGAAAAAAAACGTTGAAAAAATCTAGCTATACTACCTGCAATAGAAAGAAGACTTTTGGGAAAGTTTCAAGCCGATAGCTTAAAAACTGAGAGACTAGTTTGCGTAGAAACAGACAGACTGATGGACAGACGGACTGACGGACGGACAGACGGCCATGGCTAGATCGACTCGTCTAGTATTGTAATGTAATGTAACATGGGTCGGTTATTTCGATAAATGAGGCTCCATCAGCTCTGGTATTTGCGGTATCTTTAATTTAAGAAAATCACAAATTTTCTTCGTCTTTTGGGATATATCTTCACAAAAACCTGATAAGTGTCCTAAAAATTAGGGACATAAGGTGTCTTTGGATCAAAAATGCATTGTGGAAGAAAATATTTTTATTCAATTTTTAAACTTCTTCTTCTTCTTCTTTGGTATATAGCTTTTCTTTGACATTTCAATCGAATAGCTTTAAAACTGAGAGACTAGTTTGCGTAGAAACAGACAGACAGACACACGGACATTGCTTGATCGACTCGTCTAGTGATGCTGATTATGAATATATATACTTTATGGGGTCGGAAACGTCTCCTTCACTGCGTTGCAAACTTCTGACTGAAATCATAACACCCTCTGCAAAGGTATAAAAACCTCTTAACAATGTAAAATCTAGTGACGATCACACCTTCAATACAGTGTATCAGAGTAGGTAAGAAGTTGTACGATTTTAATTAATTTCTCCTAAACGATTCACTTCTAAAAAGTCTTAGTATTAAAATCTGAAGAAAATTATAATAATACTTTTCGATTCGTGGGCCCACAATGAAAATGCAAAATCGAAATTATTGAGTTGTACCTACACTCAAAAAAAATTTTAGAAAATCGCCTATGGATTTGCTTTACTGGCGATTTTTTTCTATATTTCTGGAATATTTCTTGAATTTAATGAATTTTGATTAATTGGAAGAAAATTTTCTTTACCAGTAGAAAATTTTTTTATTTTAAAGAAAAAAATCGCCAGTGAAGCAAATCCATAGGCGATTTTCTAAAATTCAGGGCGATTCATTTTCTGAGTGTAGATGATAAACTTATTTATGCTTTTAAGAAATAATTAACTTGCGCTCGAAATGATGGTCCGATGGAAACATTTTTTAGTTAGTTGATGCCCGCTGCATAAAAAAATCAGCAACATAACCGCAGGCAATTCAATCACGTTTAATCAGGGCATTTGAGTCAATACGGAGACACCCGACTTTAATCAATAATGGTGCCCGACTCCAACCTTTCCCTCTTTTATTTTGTGTTCCTTCATCATCATAATCATCGTCGTGCACGAGCATAAAAGGTCCTTGCTGTTGGGGGTTGTTCAGAAAAATTCGATTTTCCATTGGCATTGATAAGGGGCTGTTCTGTTGGGTACGAGGGGTTGGGTTTAGTAGACCTAACTTGAAGTTGGTTTTTGTATATTTTGACCTTTTTTCTCGGCCGGCATTTAGCTTGTTCTTCATCGGTTTAGACTCATTTGTCGACTTGATTTGAGTTTGAGTTTGGCAGAACAGATGCCTGTTGTATGGCCGTTTGGGTGCTTCATTATTTTTACAGACGAAATAAATTGAAAAATGTTTGAGAAAATACGTGTAGGCAGCTTGGGCACATACCATTTACTACAAAATTGAATTTCGAAAGCAACAACAGCAATCAGAAGGAAGAAGAAAGCTTCCGTAATATAATCTAAATCAATATTTGTCTTGATTAAATAAACGGTCAGTCTCAAATTCCACCCAGAACGGATTGTCCCAAAAATCTAGAAAAATCACAGTAATTACTAAAATAATTAGGAGCCGCGTAAGGGGTACTTTGAGAGAAGAGAGAGAGAAGAGAAACGCTATAGTCGGGTTGGTGTCCCGACTATTTAATACCCGTCACTCAGCTAAAGCGAACGCTGTACTCGGGTTGGTGTCCAGACTATAATCGTAGCTCAGCTAAAGGGAGTGCGAGATAGATAGATATATATAGATATTTTGATTGCGTATACCCTTTTAATGAATGGTCCGATTTGAAAAATGTCTTCTACATTTCGATAGGTATAAATATACACAACAAAATTGCATTTATACTTCTCGGAAATCTTTAAAGATGTGGGCGCAGGACACATTTTAAAATCGTTAGTGGGCGATTGTAAACATTAGAGGGGGCGTGGCGCTCGGCTGAAATAAACTTGCGCTGCGTAGGAAGCCCAAGAATATGTGTGGGAAATCTCAACCTTCTAGCTTTTGTAGTTTCCGAGATCTCAGCGTTCATACAGACAGACAGACGGACATGGCTAGATCGACTCGGCTAGTGACCCTGATCAAGAATATATATACTTTATGGGGTCGGAAACGCTTCCTTTTAGCTGTTACATACTTTTGCACGAATACAATATACCCTTTTACTCTACAAGTAACGGGTATAAAAACGAACCCAAAGTGCCCCAAAATTCGATTTGTTTTTTTTTAATTCTTTCTTTTGCCATTTCTCTGTTAGAAAAAGGTTGTTAAAATGGTTTTAAAATGTGATGTTCATAATCTTATGGCATACCCGCAAATAACTCCATTTAAATTTCTTGGAGATTCAGCATCCTTAACCAAGTCCCCAATATTTTCAAATTTGGCTAACCTGATGTGACGTCACGCGTCCCCATATGTTTGTATGTATGTTCTGCTGGCGCATGTACATATGTATGTACATATGTATGTCCTGCTGACGCAATTTAAGTGTGACCGCGCAAGGGGAAAATTAAAATACCACAGCCAAAAAAAATCGATTATATCGGAAATCTTTCCTTTTGCGCCTTTTTCTTAAGTAAACGTTAAATTTTAAAATGTCGGTTTTCAAATGTTGAGTTATCGACAAACTTTGGATTTGTAAAAAACAAAAACAAACAATGATTTGCTCTGCTATGTACACACACACGCACAAAATAAATATATCCAAAAAATGCGTATTTTACACACACAGCCATTAGATATATATATGCGTGTGTA